GGGGTATGTGGGGTGGGGAGGTGTGCTCCATGATAAGGACGCTGAGCTTGGAGACACGACCCAGAGGCGTTTCTGGTAAAAAAAAAAAGGTGTTTCTGGTCCCCACCGGTCATTTTGCTCCTCAGCATGGCTTCCTAAAAACACTGCAGGATTTCTCAAACATGCATGAATGAGTCAAAGCAAGGCTTTGTGCATGTTTTTTATGAGAGTATAACATTATAACATGATATAAAACTCAAAAAAGTTGATTTTACATGACATTGCCCCTTTAAAAATGCTGCAGGAATCAGTTTTTGGACATGTTGTTGTATCAGTGAATGTACTCTCTGTCTGCAGTGACCATGAACACAGCCGGCTAGAATTAAAACAAAAAGATAATTTCACTGTCTCGCTTTATGTAAAACAGATGAAACAAATATTATCAGTCAGCCCTCTGGTGCAGCTCTAAAACAAGCATCTGACAGGAAGAGGTGTGTATATTTTTGTATAGAGGCTTTCTAGCCAACCAAAGTGTTCCACAACACGATCTGCGCCCCGAACCACACCTCTCCACATTCACACAGCACTCTGCCACATCTCTACAAAGCTAATCTGAATAAACCGTTCTAAACAAACTAATCACATTCATACACTGATTGGGAACATCAGAGGCCATGAGGGGTTCAGTGCCTTGCTCAGGGACACTTCACTATATGACGACATACTGGTGGAATCAAACCTCCGACTTTCTTGTTGGAGGACGGCTCTAACCTCTGAGCCACAGTCACATACTTGTTCCTGTCTGTCTACATTTTTATTAGAAGAAATGAGACAAGACAGACTGGAAAATACCAAATATGTTGTTAGACGTTGTTTTTGTTTCATTTGTGTTTAAACTTCGACACACCTGTAACTGTTGTTGTTTGTTTTTGTTTTGTCTTGTTTTTTTTTCTTAGAAGAGTTCCAGGAAAAAGGACAAAGAGAAACAAACGTGCAAAGGCTGCAACGAGAGCTTCAATTTCACCAAGCGCAAGCATCACTGCAAGTCCTGCGGAGCGGTGAGCACCAGACACATCTGGGTGTGATGAAGTCAGTGAAAATGAAATGAACCTCAGACAGTCAGCTGTGTGTCTTTGTGCGTCTGTGTGCGTCTGTAGGCCATCTGTGCAAAGTGTTCAAAGACCTTAGACAACAAGACGTGCCGAGTCTGCCCCGAATGTTTCGAAGCCAGCCTCAGCCAGGAGAATCTGTGTGGTGGAGAGCAGAGGAGAAAACCTGCAGCTGCTGAGGTATGACACGGAGCTAAAAATAATCTGTTTATACAATAAAACACAAACAAGATTTAAAAAAAAGCATGTTTCATTGTTTGTGCATCAATGACAAACTATTTCCTAAAATATCTAAATTTCTGTGCAACGTAGCTTGAATTGTGTTTTTTGTTTTAACATAATCATGTTGTTGGGAATGCATTCACTAATAACACATGTTGTGCTTTAATATGCTAACCATACATATTCATGCTGTACAAATCACCTCTTCTCTCTATGAGGGCTAATATGTTAATAAGATCTGAGCTTAAGGAGCATCAACTGTCTGCTGACATGACAGTCTGGCAGCTTCATGTGTCTTAACACACCCTGTCTGTCTGTCTGTCTGTCTGTCTGTCAGACAGACAGACAGACAGACAGACAGACAGGTGTACAGGAGGACTGCTTTATACTGCATGCTGTTGTTGGATTACTCACATTATTATATTTCAGACTCATTCATTGTCTAGAAAAAAAAAGTCCTCTGCAGTGACAGTAATCGCCACATGGGAGAGCTGTAGGTTACGCAACATTAATAAAACAAGAGGCAGAGCAGCTTAAGCACCTGCCTGAATATAAATCTCACTTTATCCTACATGGTTATATAAGAAGAGACAAACGGTGCTGTCCTTCACTCCTCAAATTTTAATTCCCCAAACATTATGTTGATTAACTTGGATCACAAACACTGCTACAGAATTTGTCCCAGCATTTAAAAAGTCATTGATCTTTGTCCTGTTTTTGTTTTTTTCTTTGTTTAGAGGCAGGTGTCTCTGACAGGGGACAGCTGCCTGCTGTGTGGCTACCTTCAGGTGCAGGAGAAGGGGAAAGGTTGGACCAAGATGTGGGTGGCTGTAACTAAGGTTGAGCCCATGGTGCTGTACTTACAAGCCAGCGGACAGGTAAACTAAAACTGAATCCCTCTTTGTTACAACCAACACTAAGCAGGGAGTCTTAAAGAGTTCAAAGAGCTGTCCCAAACAACTGCAACCTGCTGCTTTCCTCTGCAGCCGCTCCCTGTAACTTTGATTAACAGTAACATGGAAATAAATAATATTTAGAGAGAAACGGCTAGTTTTTGCAGTGGTTCGTTCTTTGTTTTTATTTTTTTTCGTTTCAAAATAAAATCGCAATAAAGCAAACAACCGTATTATTTATTTTTTCCTGTTTTCAAAGCCTAAATGTAAAAATGTAAAATCGAACTAATATAAAATCCACAGTCTTTGATTTTTTTAATATATATATTTTTATTTTTTTATTTATTTTGCTTAGCTAAATCCCAAATAGAACATATGGTTTTTGTTTAAATAGGTAGCGATACCAGAAAATAAATCAAAGAATAAGAGTTTATAAACAGCTTAAAAACATAAACATTCCTAAAGCTCTTGGTAATGTCTGCACTTAAACCTTATTCTGCATAAGTTGGAATATTAAAGCAACTTTGTTCATGATAAGATCGACTTCATCTAAATAAGACGTTTGTCCGTTTTTAAAGTGCTCAGTGAAAACGTGATGCCCCAAGACTTGAGGCCACGATGATTTCCAGTTCTGCCAGGAAGTAACAAATGATGCGCTAACAAATTATATAGCTTGTCTTTGCTTTAACCATTAAAACAAAAGGTCATTTTAAAAAATAGGCTTTTTTGTTTTGCTATTGGGGTTTTTTATATTTAGTTTATAAGAAAAAACAAACTGAAAAACTACCCGATTACTCGGTTTTCTTGTTTAATTTTGAAACAAAAATATAAATAAATAAACTAAGAACAAACCATACATGGATTTGGACCAATAAGTCACAATACAAAAAAATCTGTGCCAGACTAATATTAATAACACTAAGAAGTAAAATGGGAAAAGTTAGCCTGTTAGCTGTTTCATTAATCTACAGTCAGATTCTTCTGACATACACCAGAAGAAAAAGATTTTTTACTTATTTAGTTAACACGCTGAAGGAAAATACTGTTTACTTTTGCACATATAAAAAAACAGATTCATATTTTATACGTATCTTGTTGAAAGGAAGTGTTCTAAAAAAATGTTGATTTCCTTTGATAAAAGTAGGAATTAAAAATAAAGACAAACTTTGATAAAACTTAAAAGCTGAAGTAAATAAAAGTTTCCGCTTTCATTAAATTCAGTAAGTCATAATTAAATATTCAACTATTTTTTGACGCTACTGAATAATAATAATGTAAGTGTATGAGTTATAATAATTCAAGTTGAATATTTATATTCTTATTTTCCACAGGTGTAGGAAGAACTTAGTGGCTGATTTAATATTATCAGATGATAAAACAATTTATTTTTTGTTCTTCTCAATGTCTTGTTCTGCTTTTTTTGTCCTAACATAGAAGCCAATAAATGTTCCTGAATATAATATATATTTAACACTTCATGAGTTATGTCGTCCTAACTTCAAGCTTCAACTACATTTTTTTTTCTACCCTGGAAACATTTAATTTTGGGAACGGAGAAATGTCTCTTTTGATTGTGAAAGTAGCAGATCCGATGTGATTAAAGGTTTCATATTACAGATATCACCAGTCGCTGTAACAAACTCACACATCCTGCTCCAGTCATGCAGTAGATGTTTACAGAAAATAAAAGGTTTAAAGGAGGCTGTGATTTAGTTTTATTCATTCAACACTGAAGGAAAGTCAAATGTTAAAACGTTTGTGTTTTATTTCCCACATCAGAAAGCTGCCATTCCACAGATTAGGATTGTTGGAAGGAGGATGAGCATTTCCTGATTTAACAGAAGGGAGGAGGGGGATCAGGGTTTACTGCACATGCCTTGTAAAATATATTCTCCTGCAGCTTAAAGGATAAGCTGTCACTTGCATTAGTGATAGGTTTTTTTTTGCACTCAAACAAATCCTCTTTAGAGACCCTGTTTTTCCTCAGATTTCCACTTTTACTCTCCCCACAGGAAGCCAAGGGCTCGCGTGCTGTACCTTTACCCGGGCTCGAGGTGGCCTCGGTTCCCCCGACGGCGGCCGACAAGTCAGAGGTCAAACACGTGTTCCGGCTCAGTCACGCCCAGCAGACCTGGCTCCTGAGCGCCCAGGACGCAGAGCTTCAGCTGAAGTGGGTGGAAGTCCTTTCCAAAGCTGCGCACGGCGAGGCGCCTGCCGACGTGCCGCTGAGCCTGACTGAACACAGGAAGAGCCAGTAGGGGGGCGGGCGGGGGGGTCACGTTGGAGCTTAAAGACTCGCCACCCCCTGTAAAATATCTGACAACTTTGGTTTGTAAAGATGAAGTTATTGGACATGATTCCACGGTGTTGTGAAGCATTAACTCCCCGTCTCCCCGTTAGTGTGTGTGTGTGTGTGTGTGTGTGTGTGTGTGTGTGTG